GTGAGAGATAGTAGGAACTGCAGATGCTGGAGAATCCGAGACAACAAGGTGCAGGGCTGGATGAACACAGCAGGCCAAGCAGCATCATAGGAGCAGAGAGGCTGACGTTTCGGGCCTCGACCCTTCATCAGAAAAGGGGGAGGGGAAGGGGGTTTTGAAATAAATAGGGAGAGAGTGGGAGGCGGATAGAAGAGGGATAGAGGAGAGGATAGGTGGAGAGGAAACAAACAGGTCGAAGAGGCGGGGATGGAGCCAGGAAAGGTGAGTGTAGGTAGGGAGTTAGGAAGGGGATAGGTCAGTCCAGGGAGGACGGACAGGTCAAGGGGGCGGGATGAGGTTGGTCGGTAGGAGATGGAGGTGCGGCTTGAGGTGGGAGGAGGGGATAGGTGGGAGGAAGAACAGGTTAGGGAGGCAGGGACGAGCTGGACTGGTTTTGGGATGCGGTGGGGGGAGGGGAGATTTTGAAACTTGTGAAATCCACATTGATACCATTGGGCTGCAGGGTTCCCAAGCGGAATATGAGTTGCTGTTCCTGCAACCTTCGGGTGGCATCGTTGTGGCACTGCAGGAGGCCCAGGATGGACATGTCGTCTGAGGAATGGGAGGGGGAGTTGAAATGGCTCGCGACTGGGAGGTGCAGTTGTTTGTTGCGAACCGAGCGTAGGTGTTCTGCAAAGCGGTCCCCGAGTCTCCGCTTGGTTTCCCCGATGTAGAGGAAGCCACACCGGGTACAGCGGATGCAGTATACCACATTGGCAGATGTGCAGGTGAACATCTGCTTGATGTGGAAAGTCTTCTTGGGGCCTGGGATGGGGGTGAGGGAGGAGGTATGGGGGCAGGTGTAGCACTTCCTGCGGTTGCAGGGAAAAGTGCCGGGTGTGGTGGAGCTGGAGGGGAGTGTGGAGCGGACAAGGGAGTCACGGAGAGAGTTGTCCCTCCGGAAAGCAGATAAGGGTGGGGTGGGAAAGATGTCTTTGGTGGTGGGGTCGGATTGCAGATGGCGGAAGTGTCGGAGGATGATGCGTTGGATCCGGAGGTTGGTGGGGTGGTACGTGAGGACGAGGGGGATTCTTTTTTGGTTTTTATTGTGTGGACGGGGTGTGAGGGATGAGGTGCGGGAGATGTGGGAGACACGGTTGAGGGCGTTCTCGACCACCGAGGAGGGGAAGTTACGGTCCTTGAAAAACGAGGACAACTGAGATGTACGGGAGTGGAATGCCTCATCCTGAGAGCAGATGCGGCGGAGGCGAAGGAATTGGGAATAGGGGATAGCATTTTTGCAGGAAGGTGGGTGGGAGGAGGAGTATTCTAGGTAGCTGTGGGAGTCGGTGGGCTTGAAATGAATATCGGTTTCTAGGTGGTTGCCCGATATGGAGACAGAGAGGTCCAGGAAGGGGAGAGAGGTGTTAGAGATGGTCCAGGTAAACTTAAGGTTGGGGTGGAAGGTGTTAGTGAAGTTGTTGTGTGTCTGGAGTCACATGTCAGCTGGACCAGGTCAGGTGGCAGATTTCCTTCCCTAAAAAGCATTAATGAAGCATTTATGTAAAGCAAAATTGGCTGCATGGCTGTAATTAGGCTAGTATTTTTTTTAAAATTACAAACTTTCTTGAACTTAACCTTCACCATCTACCAATGTGTGGGATTGAAAACTCATGTCTCAGAACATTAGCTCCAGATTACTGATCCAGACATTATCACCTCACCACTGCCTCTGGCACTACTGAAGAAACTGTAAGTGAGGTTTTATTCACACAAGACAATGACAAGTTTAAATCTCCACCTGATCTGCTGCTCAAAACCACCTTCATTTCGCCTATCAGTTTCCCAAACCATCGGAAACTCATGTTGCTCCCTAAAAATTTGGATTGGCTGTGAGAGACATCAATCACAAAGCCCATCCTCTCCTCTTCCTCTTCCAGAACTGGTTCACTTCCTGTAGGGCCTGAAAAATCAAGTGAGATGGTGAGTGAAGGAGTAGCCTTTATACAAATTGTATCCCCTAATAGCGACGCCAGTCTTCAGGCAGACTGGCTATCCTGTGGGCAGTCGGGGTGAAAATGTCCCTTGTTCTGTGTGAGAAGATCCAGCTGAGACAGCTGTTTAATCAGCGCTTTGTGCCGAACTGTTTGACTGGAGCTGTGTGTTGAATACTGAGTGTGTTTATTGGAAGCATTTCCCTTCTGATTTCCAGGCTGAGTTTTGTCGATGGCTCATTCCTGAATATGAGAAGCTGGGGTGTTATTTTCTGGGAGGTGCAATTTCTGAGGATTCGTCCTGGTTTCCTATTGTTGAGTTGTGTGTGTGTATATGTGTGTGTGTGTGTGTGTGGTGGGGGTCGTCTGTCTGTATGTGTGCGTTCATGCATGTCACATCGTCCAGTCGTGAGATTGTCGTGGGCTGGACATATAATTGAGAATTGTAAATCTTCCGTGGACCCCTCCAATGCCAGCACGTCATTCCTTAGATACGGAGCCCAAAACTACTCAGACTGTTCCAAATACGGTCTGACCAGAACTTCATAGAGTTTCAGTAGAACATCTCTGTTGTTTTATTCTAACCCTCTCGAAATGAATGCTAACAATGCATTTGCCTTCCTAACTGCTAACCGGGACCCTGTGGCAGTCCTGACTTATGTAACAATTACTCATGAAGTTTGATCTTTCAGCAATTCCCATTTCACTGGACTGTCCACGAATGTCTATGTCTTTCTGACAGTCATCAGGGTAGTTACCCAGCAACTGTTAGGCTGCTGAAAAGTTGATCTAATACCAGGGTAACTAAGTAAATGACTATCCAAATGTCTCCTGCACTCCCACCCTACCCCAGACCAGCTAAGCCCTCAGCCGTCCAAAAACGACTGACCTGATTAACCGCTCCCCCCCAACAAAACTTTCCAGCCGCTCCCCTACCCACCAAACTCCTAGCTAAACTGATCTAGATAACCCCACCAAACACCCAACTAACTCTCCTGACTGGATCCCTGACCCAATCATGCATTGTACCCACTTAACCACCTCACTCACTGACCCACGAAACCTTCTGCTTCTCTGACAGTGCCTTCCAAACCTGTGATGTCTACCATTAAGAAGGACAAGGGCAGATACATGGGAACAACATCTGCAAGTTCCCTTCTAAGTAAGGCACCATCCTGACTTGGAAATATATCATCACAGCTTGTCGATACAGTGTGGAGCTGGAGGAAACCAGCAGGTCAGGCAGCATCAGAGGAGTAGGAGAGTCGATGTTTCGGGCCTAGACCCTTCTTCATTCCTTCACTGGTGCTAACTCAAAATCCTGGAACTGTCTTCCTATCAGCACTCTGAATGTTCCTGCACTCTGAGTATTCCTACACTCTGCAGTGCGTAGGAAGTGTGCAGAAGACTGCAGCATTTCAAGAGGACAGCTCACCAGCAACTTCTCAAGAGTACTTCAGAATGAGCAAATAAATGGTGGCCCAGTCAGCAAAGTCTATGTCCCATGAATGAATTTTAAAAAGCCGCACCCACTTTCCCATCTCAGTCACCAATCTCACCTACTTATCAACTTGCCCAAGTAGCCATCTGTTCATTATATAAGACCATAAGATAGAGGAACAGAATAAGGCTATTTGGCCCATCAAGTCTGCTCTGCCATGTTTTTCAACCTCATTCTCCTGCCTTCTCCTGAAATCCTTAAACTCCTTACCAATCAAGCATCTATCTATCTCTGTCTTAAATACACTCAATGACTTTGCCTCCACAGCCTTCTGCAGCAATGAGTTCCACAGATTCTCCACCCTTGGCTGAAGAAATTCGTCCTCGCCTCAGTTCTGAAGGGTTGTCCCTTCAGTCTGAGGCTGTGCCTCCCTCTCTCCTCCCAGTTGAAACATCTTCTCCACGTCTACTCTATACAGGCTTCTCAGTATTCTGTAAGTTTCAACCAGATCCTCCCTAATTCTTCTAAATTCTATCAAGTACAGACCCAGAGTTCGCAACTGCTTCTCATATGATAAGCCCTTCATCCCTGGGATCATTCTTCTAAATCCCCTCCAATGCCAGCACATCATTCCTTAACCCAAAACTGCTCATACTCTTCCAAATGCAGTCTGACCAGAACCTTATAGTGTCTCAGTGGAACAGCTCTGCTGTTTTATTTTAGCCCTCTCAAAATGAATACTAACAATTTGCCTTCCTAATTGCTAACTGAACCTGCATGTTAACCTTAAGAGAATATTGATATAGGACTCCCAAGTCCCTTATAGCTTCAGATTTCCGAAACCTTTACCTGTTTAGAAAATAGTTTACACTTCTATTCTTCTAACCAATTTACATAACCTCACAGTTATCCATGTTGTATTCTATCTGCCACTTCTTTGCCCACTCTCCCAGCCTATGCAAATCCTTCTGCAGCCTCCCTGTTTTTCCGTGTCCCTCCACCTGTCTGTTTGTCATCTGCAAACTTGGCAACAATGCTCTCAGTTCTTTTGTCCATTTTGTTAATGTATAACATGAATAGTAGTGGTCCCAACAGCGAACCCTGTGGAACGCCACTCATCACTGGCTGCCATCCTGAAATAAAACCCTTTATCCCTACTTCCGGCTTTCTGCCATTCAACCAATCCTCTATCCATGCCAGTACCTTTTCCCTAACACCTGGACTCTTATCTGAATTAGTGGCCTCCTGTACAGCACCTTGTCAAAGGCCTTCTGAAAATCCAAATAGATCACGTCCACTGGCTCTGTGTTATTTAACTCACTCGTTACCTCCTCAAAGAATTTTAACAGATTTGTCAGGCATGACCTCCCCTTGATAAAGTCTTGCTAACTCTGCCCTATTTTACCATGTACTTCCAGGTACTCATTCTTAATAATAGACTCTAAAATCTTACTAACAACCAATGTCAAGCTGACCAGCCTACAGTTTCCAGTCTTCTGCCTCCTTCCTTTCTTAAACAGGGGTGTTACATTAGCAATTTTACAGTCCTCTGGGATCCTCTCTGACTCCAGTGATTCCTCTACAATTTCCTCAGCTAACTTCTTCAGAACTCTGGGGTGTAGTCCATCTGGTCTGGGTGATTTATCCACCTTCAGACCTTTCACCTTCCCCCCCACCCATGCCTTCTCCTTAGTGATTGCCACTATCCTCACCTCCGCCTCCTGACTCTTTTAAAGTTCTGGAATGCTGCTGGTGTCTTCCGCTGTGAAAACTGATGTAAGATACCTATTTGGTTCCTCCATCGTTTCTTTGTTCACCATTACTACTTCTCCAGCCTCATTTTCCAGCAGTCCAAAGTCCACTCTTGCTTATGTCTTACCTTTTGAATATATAAAAAAGCTCGTGCAAACTTCTTTTATATTTTTGGCTAGCTTACTCTCATATATCATCTTCTCCCACTTATCGCATTTTCAGTGATCCTCTGCCAATTTTAAAGGCTTCCCAATCCTCTAGCTTCTCACCCACCTTCACCACATCGTATACTTTATCTTTTGCTTTTATGCTGTCCTTGACTTCCCTTGTCAGCCTCCCCCGAGTATGTTTCTTCATCCTTTGGATGAACTTCTGCTGTGCCTCTCACATTACCCACAGAAACTCCTGCCATTGCTGCTCCACCATCTTTCCTGCCAGATTCCTCTTCCAATCAACTCTGACCAGCTCCTCCCTCATGTCTTTACTCATTTGTGATACTTTTACATCTGATTCCAGCTTCTCTCTCTCAAACAACAAGGTGAACTCTATCATATTATGGCCACAGTCCCCCAGGGTTTCCTTCGCCTTCAGCTCCCTAATCAAGTCTGCCTGGGGGTGCGGCTTGAGGTGGGAGGAGGGGATAGGTGGGAGGAAGAACAGGTTAGGGAGGCGGGGATGAGCTGGGCTGGTTTTGGGATGCGGTAGGGGGAGGGGAGATTTTGAAGCTTGTGAAATCCACATTGATGCCATTGGGCTGCAGGGTTCCCAAGCGGAATATGAGTTGCTGTTCCTGCAACCTTCGGGTGGCATCGTTGTGGCACTGCAGGAGGCCCAGGATGGACATGTCATCTGAGGAATGGGAGGGGGAGTTGAAATGGTTCATGACTGGGAGGTGCAGTTGTTTATTGCGAACCGAGCATAGGTGTTCTGCAAAGCGGTCCCCAACCCTCCTCCCACCTCAAGCTGCACCCCCATTTCCTACCTACTAACCTCATCCCGCCCCCTTGACCTGTCCGTCCTCCCTGGACTGACCTATCTCCTCCCTACCTCCCCACCTACACTCACCTTTACTGGCTCCATCCCCGCCTCTTTGACCTGTCTGTTTCCTCTCCACCTATCTTCTCCTCTATCCATCTTCTATCCGCCTCCCCATCTCTCTCCCTATTTATTTCAGAACCCCCGTCCCCTCCCCCATTTCTGATGAAGGGTCTAGGCCCGAAACGTCAGCCTTCCTGCTCCTATGATGCTGCTTGGCCTGCTGTGTTCATCCAGCTCTACACCTTGTTATCTCAGATTTTCCAGCATCTGCAGTTCCTACTATCTCCTATCAGAACAGCTCCCTCCTTCACCAGTTCTGATGCCAATGACCCATGAATTCAAAACTGTTTGTCCCACAACAATCTTTGAGCCACAGCATTTACCTGTAATCTTATTCAGCCTGTGACAATTTGCTTGTAGTTCAGATAGTAATCCATGGATTATCACCTTTTTGATTCTGCCTTTTAATTTAGCCCCGAGCTGCTCATATTCCCTCAACTGAAGCATTTTCCTCTTTCTATTTATATCATTGGTACCCACGTGGACCATGACAACTGGATCTTTCCCCTCCCACTCCAAGTTTCCCGACAGCCCATTTGAGATATCCTGAAACTGAGCATGCGGCAGTTAACACAGCCTCCGGGACTCTTGATGCTGGCCGCAAAGATCAGTGTTTATTCCCTTGATTATACTGTCTCCAATTACGAATACATTTCTGTTTTCCTCCCCTTCTTGAATGGCTCCCTGTACCGGGGAGC